ACAGTATGCTCGAGGGCAGGGGGCTACCTGCTGGAACCACACATGTGCGGGGGGAGCTGGGGCAGCCACTATTCACGTGAATAGTAACTGCCCTAGGGCTCCTCTTGCCATGGCAAGGGACTAACTGGTGAAAATGCTCTTAAAATGATTTAAAACTGAGAATATATATATATGGACAATCTTGGTATTTCATCATGACCAAACACGAGACCTAATTATGCCCCAAATTCCAAATGGCCAATCAAATATTAGAAAATTGGCTGTACTTATTTGCTCGCAATAGATGGGTCGGGTTGTATTTTCCCATTGGATCACCCATCGCTGCTGTGATGGGGTCCACCTGATTTTCCACGCCACGTAGCCAAACGCGGTTTGGAAAATTCTCCTCACCTCTCTCCCCGTCAGCTCAAAAACCAAACGCCAAAATGCGAAACGTCTTCTTCTCCAAACCCAAATTGAACTCAACAATGGCTTCCGATTCGATCTACACCTGCACGGAGTGCGGGGCAAACCTGAACCTAAGCGCCTCCTATCTCTACCCACCGGACTTCTTCTTCGAGGCCGGCAACAAGGGAACGCTGTCGTTTTCGTGGGTCGACGGCACCAAGTTCAGGTTCGAGAAGGAGGACAAGATCAGGCCCTTTTTCGAAACCAGAAACTACTGGGGCATCCAGAGGACCAGGACCAAGATCAAGTGCAACGGCTGCGGGCGGCTCGTCGGGCATATCTACGATGATGGGCCCCCCATGACTGACAGTCCAGGTCAGTTCCACATGGGGCCCAGCCAGGTCATTCCCAGAGCTGCTAGATATAGATTCAAGACCAAGGCCCTTCGTGTTTCATCGTCTGGGACTTAGTTGGAATTCTGAGAATTGTTTCTGTAATGTTTGAAGTTGTTTTTCTTTAACATACTGTAAAGGGTCTTTTGTGTTTTTTATTATGTTGATTCTATATACTGTCTTGTGGTTGAAGAAGATCGTATTAAATTTGTAATTAATCTTAAGTGTGAAAATTTTGATATAATTCTGGGTTCCCACAAAAATTATTGCATTAAAAACAGCAAAACCCAGGTGCATTTTCTGGGAAATTTGGAAATAAAAAACAAAAAAAATCCCCTGTTTCTCTTGTTGTTTCAATTTGAGGCTAAAGCTGTGGACTTTTCGTTTTGGGCAGGCAGCAGCCTATTTTCTTAATGGTTGAAGGACAGGATCCAGTTATGAAATTAAAAAGATGATTAGCAACTAAAAGCACATTTGTCGGTGGACTTTTTTGGGGTTGGTCAATTTTTTTGGATGCTTGGAATTAAGAACATTCTGCCAAAATGTTTAGGTGGGGAGTTACTGCAATCTAAATTCTCAATCTTACTCGAAGTTTCGATCTGCAACTACCAGTCAATTTTTCATTGTATTTTGTGCTTCTTCTTAACGGGCAACACCGCCAGGCTCTAGCTAACTGATATAAAATTAAAATTCAACCCCCCTTTGTAAAATGGCTGATTAGAGAATAGAAATGGGCGTTGTGACTGGAAAACGAAGCTATCAGTCATGTTTGAAAGTTAGGTTGGAGCAGTAGCTATGGAGGGTTGGTCGTGAAAATCGATATCCAAGACTTTCAATCATTAGTTATTCCTTCCCCCATATTGCAATCTTTCACAGATAGAGCAGGCACCGTTGCGAATTCAAGTGGGCAAAAGGATGAGCATGAGGATGAAGCAAATAGTGGAGGCACCGGCATCACCGCCTCCACCACTTCCAAGGTTCTGGGCTAAGAAGGATGCGCCACAGAGTGTGACAAAGCGAGAAATTGCCAGGTTCTGGTTTCAGAAGCGCATTGAGGAAGAGGAGCACCTCCTCGCTGCTATCAAGGCTGCAGCACGTATTAGAGCCCTCAAGCTCTCGGTAAGATTTTTCATGACACAAGTTAAAAAGCCATGCATTCAAAAGGGACTTTGGCTAAAATTTTAAGAGAGATGATCAAATCTTCACTGCAGCCTAGTTTTTGCAATTATGCAGAATCTCTTGGCAAAAGAAAAGACTTCAAAATGAATTGTTAGGAGGGTAGGCTGAAAGAAGCATTTGAATTTCTTACATTTGCTTAACTTGTTGAAGGTGTGTGTTGTGTAGGAGGAAGATTACAGAAGTTTTGAGGAGTCCTTGAACGACGACGACAAAGCCAACGATAAGGATAGCTCTGCTGCAGCCACTAATGACAGCAACAAGGATGGAAACAACAACGAAGTTCGCGTTGGGATTAAGGACTGGTGAGTTAATTTGTCTCAATCAATCAAATGGCTTAATCAAGTTCAATAATAAGCCTGCTTGAAAATTCTCAAAGTCCTCTCAACAGAGATTTTAAACAAACATGTTTGCAGGTGGACAAAGAGCAAGTATGCATACTTGAACCAGCCAGCCATAGAGTCCATGGAGCCTCCGAAAAGGCGCACCTCCACGTATGTTCCCAATTGTTTTGCCTATAAACCCACCCCTCTCTACCCTACCTCTCTCGGTGTGTTTTAGAACAGCTGATCAGCAGCGGCTTCAATTGATTGGACTGAAAATGGTTCATGAATTGTATGTCTCTTTGGAATAAGTAAAGGTTTGCAGCCTTTGCAAGCATTGGTTTCATCATGTGGTGTATTTCTAAACAAAACCACAGAATTTAATTGGGATGTAGTGTAAAGAAAAGAGTCCCTTTGTTTGTTTGGTTTGTGTGTGCAGTGCAATATGCAGGTCATGACATATTTTTCTGTTTCTGTTCAGCATAACAGGATGCTGTCTTTCTGAATATTCTTAAAATTTTGACTAGTCTTTTCTGCTCAAAATACATGCTGGAAGGTCCAAATTCAAATGTTGGATTGTTAGCAGCCAATCCCAAATAACAAGAATATTAACATCAGTCTGGCCTAATCTTGACTGTAGCAAACAGACCTCAAGTACCCTTCCTAACTTCACTGAAATATGTAGAGAATTTGTAATTGTAAACCCAAAATACTTTGAGTCATCAAACTTTGGATCTCTAATTATTAACCTCAAAATCTGAATCAACCGCAGCATTTGCAGCAATTGGTAGAATGGATCAACGCGGCTCTAAATTTTGTGTCAAAAGACCTCAAATAGATCTAAAAATATTGTTAATTTGAACCGCACATTCATGCATTTTAATAAGAATTAATGTATTAAAATAAGTCGAACGTGTCGGATTATCAGACAAAGAAAAACGTAACCTGTCAAGAGTACTATTTTGACAAAGGAACACCTAATGTGTTGAGGACTAAGCCATAGATAATTGTTATTTTGACGAAGGGAAAGTTGTAATTAATAATTTTCCTTTTCTTGAGAATAATTGCATATATAAAAAGATAGAAGAAACATAAAAAAGGCAAAAAAGAATTAAATACGATTTATAAGCAGATACAGTACTGGGATTTTAATTTGAGACTTTGAAAACAAAAGCGCGTAGAGGTTGTAAGAGGGTAGACGTAAGATGTTATAATATAATCAAATCTCTCGTCGCAGACCTTCAGATCTTGCTGTTCCAGTTTCCATTTCCAAATCCAATCCTCGATCTTAATCTCTAGGGTTCAAGTTCAATCTCTCACAGATCAATGGCGGTTAAGCCAAGGCACGCGCGCCTTCAGACTCGCAAAACATCGTCTTCTTCCTCCACGCTGGTCCTCACTTTGCTCGTCATGTTCACTTTCGTGATCCTCATTCTTCTCGCCCTGGGAATACTCTCGGTCCCGAGCGGCTCCTCCGGCAACTCGGCCAAGGCAAACGATCTCAGCTCGATTGTACGGAAGAGTGCCGACAGGTGCGTGATGGGTCGGTTTGAGGTTTTATTTTTTTATTTTTTGGTTTCAATTCTGGTTGGTAATTTGGTAATTGTTTTGACTTTAATAGAAATGAAGAAGAAGGGGCAGGGGAGCAGTGGGTCGAAGTCATCTCATGGGAGCCGAGAGCATTTATCTATCACAATTTCTTGGTGAGCTCGCTTTAACTCTCTCACTCATGAAGAATTTATGATGTTTCTGAATTAGTAGCTTGTATTTTCGGAAAAATCGAAATGAGCATCTATGGTGTGTTGGAGTTTCTGATAATTGTGCCAATATATCTTGGGTAGCATTTAGTGTGGAATTAACGTAATTGCATATGGTTTTGGGTGAAATTAAGGCTTCATATATACCTGGATTTGATGCAATCTAAATTCACCAAAAGCTGAACTCAGTTGGCTAATTTTGGCAGACCAAGGAGGAATGTGAATATCTAATCGATCTTGCCAAACCTAGTATGCACAAGTCAACAGTAGTTGATAGTGAAACTGGAAAGAGCAAAGATAGCAGGTCTTGGTTTCTCACTTCATTCTCTTGTGTCATTTCAGTTAAAAGATGTAGATGGGAAAATCTATTGTCTTTCTTTTCATTCCCTTGCTTTATCCCCTCATGTGCGGTGCAATTGTTGTATATCTTGTATGCAGGGTCCGTACAAGCTCTGGAACATTTTTGCAAAGAGGGCGCGATAAAATTATCAGGAACATTGAGAAGAGAATTGCTAATTTCACCTTTTTACCTGTAGGTATGCTGTTGAACTCATGCCCTCTTATTTATGTATTTTTTGTGCCTTTTACTGATTTTTCTGCCTTCAAAGTTGAAGGTACTGCCTTCATGTGGACTACAATGTTTACCTAAAGCTATGATGTTCATCTATTAATAATGTAGCTATGCTTGTTCCATACAATTCACGAGCTGTTTTTTACACGAAATACAGAACACGGGGAGGGACTTCAAGTTCTCCACTATGAAGTTGGACAGAAGTATGAGCCTCACTATGACTACTTTCAAGATGAGTTCAACACTAGGAACGGAGGTCAACGTATAGCTACGGTTCTCATGTACCTGTAAGTTTCATAGTGTGTCTGCCTAAACACCCTTACTTCTGGTGCACTACATAGACCCACTAATATTCTTCGGAAATGTTTTCTCCTCCCATGTGGTGCAGCTCAGATGTTGAAGAAGGGGGTGAGACTGTGTTCCCTGCTGCCGAAGGGAATATTAGTTCTGTGCCTTGGTGGGATGAGCTATCTGAATGTGGGAAAAAGGGACTTTCTGTTAAACCCAAGATGGGGGACGCGTTGCTTTTCTGGAGCATGAGGCCTGATGCATCTCTGGATCCTTCAAGTTTGCATGGTTAGTAGCTTACTCATAATTAATTAGGGAGATTCACTATTATACCCAATATAGAGACCCAAAATACCCTATATGAAATGGACTTTAGAAACACATCCAAAGTCCATTTACAACATAATAGAGAGGCTTTTAACTTCTTATAAATTACAAAAATGCCATCTATTTCTTAAAACAAGCCCAACCCCAAAAGCTCATAAAAAAACCCAAAACACTCAATAGGGCATCAAAGTAATTTAATAATCAAAATTAAATTAAATACAGCCAGCTGTTATTTTTTGAGTTTTTTTGGGGTTTGTTTATAGAAATTAAATGGTGTAGGGTTTATTTATATTTTTTGTGCTAAGATTGGGTATATGACTAAATATCTCAATTAATTATTGGCTTTGTGAAGCATCAATTTCAGGCTTCTATGATTCCAAAATATCCATCATGGAAAATGACATGTTTATGCGTGCTTCCTTTATGAATTTAATCCTAATTTAAAACATAGATTTCAATGATTTTTTTTTGTGCATCAGATTTCGAACTTTTATTAGTTCATTCACAAACATGCTGACTTGTAATACCTTTATTAATAATGAGTCAAATTTCTCTCCTGTTTATTTCAGGCGGATGCCCTGTGATTAAGGGAAATAAATGGTCATCTACTAAATGGGTGCGTGTCAACGAGTACAAAATTTAAACTATTACACCAAAGGTAACTATCCATACCCAAAATAGATAACTAACAGTTTATATGGTTGCTGCATTCTGTGAAGCTACCACATTCAGTTTCTCAAATTCCCAAAATGGGCCAATTGACTGTTCTATGCTTTTGTTCTTATGTATTGCTTGGTTCAGGTTATGCTGTCATGCTATTTCTACATTTCAATTATATAATATTGTTTTCTTTACGATTACCTCTGGCAGGCTATATGAGTTCTTATGTTGTAGTACTTGTCAACATCTCAAGCCAGAGCTTCAGTACTTGTGCTTCAAGTCTCATTTGTAACCTAATACACCGATCGGCGCCTGCATGCCACTTAGGTTTTGATGTACTACAGCTGCTCTTCTACTAAATCAATTTTTGTTTCTTAGCTATATATTCTTGTTATTACAACCCCTGATAAAATAAAACATCTATGTTCTTTTTTTATTTATGGGAATTCCAACTCTCAGAAGGTTTAGGACATTGAGTTGTTGAAAAGAAACAGTGAAAAGAAATGAGCTTGTTCATTCACAGGAAACCAAAAAATTGCACGTTCCAATTGTATGTTTATTCATGTATTCTTGTATGGAATCAACCCATGTCAGGTTCACCCCGAACCCCGAGACAAGGATGATTCAAATTCGTGGAATTTCAAATCACACAATCGATGGACTTGCTACAATCTTGTGGATAGTTTGTGTGACAATCGCACGCATGTGTAGGTGCCAGTTGGGAGCTTTGTGAAGCATCAATTTCACACGCTGTCAAATACATACACATGAGCATCACTCAAATACATGACTTACGTACACACGAGCATCACTCCAATAATGTGACTTACTGTGGTTGACCTAACACCTTTTGAAAATAAGTTTTCAATTGTCATGTTATGTGTTAACACAAGTTAAAACGCTCTAGCCGAAAACAAGGTCGCATTGATTGCCCTCCACACCTTATAAACCAAAAGTTAAAAAGTTAAAAATGGAAAATTTAGAAAACCATCAACGACACGATAATATCAAAAAAAATTCATCACGATTAATACAAACGCTAAAACGCCTGAATATTCTGATACAAGAATAGAATACTCCCACCAATATTCCATTATTTATAATGTAGTTGGGGTCAGCTCTGGGATTGAAACAACGTTTTGTTGCCGAACCATGTAGATTATTAGAACTTGAGGAAAAATTGGTACAATGTTGAACTACACCTGCATGCCAATAGCCTTTTCTGGTTGATCTAGCTTTTGATCAGATTCCTGATGACATATTGCAAAATGCCTCCATGATCAAAATATGCCAGCTCAACCTGCAACGAAGAAGAAACAAGGGAATTTTGAAGCAACCTGAACTTGACAAGGCTAATAAAGATACAAAAGAAGCAGAGCATGACGCAGTCCATTACCTCTGTATCGAATCGTAGTGTACATACGAAGGATTTGCCATTATCTGTCACCACTGTAACATCCTGTCCGGGTTTAATTTCACCAACACTGCTTGGAAGATCGATGGTGTAACGTTCCTCACCAGTTAACCCAAGAGTGTCTGCGTCTTCCCCAGTCTTAAAACATAGTGGAATGATGCCCATGCCCACAAGATTACTGCGGTGAATGCGCTCAAAGCTCTTTGCTATGACCGCCTTCACACCCTGAAAATAATTATGATTTAAAGCAGACTTCATTAGATAAGTCAAAGATGGCAAACATATATTTGAATTAAAATGGAATGGGATACTGCCAGAGGGCATACCAGTAGCATTGGACCCTTAGCAGCCCAATCACGAGAACTTCCACTCCCGTATTCAGCACCAGCCAAAATAATCGTAGCATGCCCTTCACTTCTGTACCTCTGTTAATAAAAGTCAAAGAGCAAAAATTGTAGATTCAGGTGGGGCTTGAAGGCATCAACTTTAAAACATTGAATACAGATAGTCTTCCCAAGAAATTTAAACCATTTTTGGATAACCTTATGTAAAAGTTAAGATGAGTGGGCATTACCATGGCAGCATCAAACACGGACAGTTTCTCTCCAGTGGGAATATGGATTGTTTTGGGACCAACTTCTCCTTTCAAAAATTTATTGACTAGCCGAATATTTGCAAAGGTGCCTCTTGCCATAATCTCATCATTACCACGGCGACTTCCATAAGAGTTGAAGTCCCTTCTATCAACACCACGTTCCAGAAGGTATTTGGCTGCTGGACTGTCTTTGTGGATGCTACCAGCAGGTGAGATGTGGTCAGTTGTGATACTATCTCCAAAGTTGAGCAAGCAGTAAGCATTCTTCACTCCATGAGCGCCCGGAGGAGACATGGTCATATCTTTGAAATAAGGTGGCTCATGTATATAAGTTGATTTTGGGTCCCAGGCATAAAGAGTGCCATCCGGTACGGATAACTGATTCCACATTGGATTTCCTTTGGTGATTGCTTCGTATGTAGCCATAAACATATGAGGAAGCACATTTGATTGCACAACCTGAAGACAGAATAATTAGACCAACAAGAATTTCCAATCCCTCAATTTCTATAGTAACTGTACTAGTGAGTTCATTCCAAAGTTATCAGAAAAGTAAAAAGAAATTCCCAGTAAAGCAGTAGAGCAATTTACCTCCGCTACTTCTTCATTAGATGGCCAAATGTCCCTGAAAAATATCTTCTTACCATCTTTTCCCAACCCAATTGGTTCTGTTTCGAAATCAATATCTACCTGCAGCACAGCCAACGAATGAGATATTGCACCAAAAAGACAAATGTGACAGGCACAAAATCATTTTAGCACAACAAAAAAGGCATATGCATATGAATAGCAGAAAAGAAGCATATAACACAACATGATACAGAGAGTAACAAGCAGCTGTGCAAGAACTTATGAGCTCCGTACCGTTCCAGCAAGAGCATAGGCAACAACAAGGGGAGGAGAAGCAAGATAATTGGCCCTTGTTAAAGGATGCACACGACCCTCAAAATTCCTATTTCCAGACAACACAGCGGCAGCTACAATATCTGTAAATGAGGAGAAAATCAACTACTTAGTCACCTTGCAAGACTCCATAGAGTAGCACTACTGGAGAAAATTTATAGAAAGTTTACCATTTTCTGTAATAGCTGATGCCACAGCGTCATCAATATCTCCTGAATTCCCAATGCATGTGGTGCATCCATACCCAACAATATGAAACCCTAACTGATTCAAATACTGCTGCAACCCACTGCAGGACAATACATGACTTATGAAGAATACCTTACAAAAGTAGTATAACTTTCCGAAGATGTGGTACAGAGATTCTTAAAAGTACCTCTTTTGCAAGTATTTGGTTACAACCCCAGAACCCGGAGCAAGACTTGTCTTAATCCATGGCTTGACCTAATAAAAGACACATTGCACGTAGAATTAATTAAAAAGACTCACTATAATGCCCTACATTATATAATGCTGAAATAAGATAAGCTTCCACACCTTCATTATTCAACTCCAAAAGTATTCAGTAGACCAAAAAACATGGGGGCAGCAATTTCTAGTGGTTCTAGCATAATATATTTCTTTTCTCACTTTCTCTTTTTCATCCTATGAATGATTATACCATTATGAGAAATGAGCTACAAGTAGAGACATCCAACCTCCAATCCTAATTCACAAGCTTTCTTTGCAACCAAAGCAGCTCCAAGCATTACACTAGGATTTGAGGTGTTTGTGCAACTGGTGATAGCTGCTATAACTACATCCCCATGCCTTAGCTGTGCTGGGGTTCCGTGAAATGTGAACTCTACAACTTTATTTTGAGATTCCTTCGGCACAGCAAAACCCTGCAATACCATGCAAGAAACATAAGAAAAAGAGAGAGGGTTGATGCACAATTACCCATTATGATCATATCACTAAAACTACTATGAGCAATAGTCTCAGTCATCAAATTACTAAAATGGAAAACTAAAGGCCTGTTTGATAACCATTTCAATTTTAGTTTTCATTTTTCATTTTTTGTGCTAGAGTATAGAGGAAAATGAGAGTGAGAATGGGAGTGAGGATGAGATTGAGAGTGAGGATGAGAGGGGAGGATGAGAAGCAGGAGTCAGAAAAGTGAAAACAATTTCAAATAGATTTCAGTTTTTTGTTTTTGTTTTCACTTTTGTTACTCATCCCTCCCATCCTCCACTCTCATGTTCCCTCTCAATCCCATCTCCACTCTCACTCTCACTCTTTTCCCTCTATAATCTAGCACAAAAAATGAAAACTAAAAACTAAAATTGAAACGGTTATCAAACGGGCCCTAAGACACTGACAGTTTTCTATGGTCATCGACCAAAAATGAGTTATGATCCTTGCATTTTCTCTTCTTAATCAAAATCTTAAACGTCCATGTGTCACCATGTCCCATCCTTAGGATAAGCTTTTGAGGAAAAGGTTTTCTAACCATGGAAACAGAATAAATAGAAATTTCCTTACTCACAGAATCAAATTCTGGAATATTCAAATGGCCCTACAGTTTCCATGCCGTACTATATGAAAATTTGTGTTAATGCTGGAACTTCTCACCTTAAATCCAACTCTATTGTCAAGGCATGCGTGCCAATCCACTTTCATTTCTTTCAAAGTAACACGATCATGTGGCCTACAAGACATATGCTTCTCAGTGGCACATCAAAAAATATCGAAATTAAAATTTTGTATTAAGTGCGTGCATAATAGCTTGATTTGACAATAAATTGTACCTCTTTGGACCTGATATGCATGGTTCCACTTCATTAAGATTTAGCTCCAGATAAGAGGAGTACACTCTCTCAACCTGGGGCTGAGTTGAGGAAAAATATTCATTCAGAAACCATATTGCAGAAGTTGTTCAATAGAATGGTATTCAAGGTCATGGGTGTGCATATTGTACCTCATTGTAGTCGACAAACATCCTATTAGCCCGTAAATAGGATTCTATCAGAGCAACCTGCATGGTAATTTTTATCTCAGCATATAAACAAACGGACAGGATAATGAAAATGTTTAACCATGCACTCACCTTGTCATCACTTCTGCCTGTTAGTTTCAGATATTGCAACGTGACACGATCCACAGGAAAGAAGCCCATAGTCGCACCATACTCGGGAGACATGTTGGCAATTGTGGCACGGTCTGCTAGTGACAATTCACTCATGCCTTCTCCTGCATAAGAAAGTAAAGGCCAACATCTAATGTGAGATGAATAAGCAAACCAGACAGCAGCTGGAGCCTCTATCATCAAAAAACTAATATCACTAGATACTAAGACTACATATATGGGTTTACCATAGAACTCCACAAACTTGCCGACAACTCCATGCTTCCTCAGCATTTGAGTAACTGTCAGAACCAAGTCAGTAGCTGTCACACCATCTCTCAGTTTTCCTAGTAATTTAAACCCAACCACACCGGGCAGGACCATGCTCATGGGCTGTATTGAAAAAAAATTAAAAGAGCAAATGAATATTTCTGGATAAGAAACTGCAGAAGGTAGTGCATTGCAATAAAACCCAAGTGAAATATAATACAAGGCACAGTAAT